TTGAATTTTTTCAAATTGAATATTCACAATCCAATTCGACTATTTAAATCTTTCAAACTTAGTAATTTATTTATTTATTTTTTGAAAACCTTAATCTGAAAATGTATCAAATTGAAATTTTTGAAATAAAGATAATTCGTAATAATATATTCTTTGTTTATCATTGATTTATTATATAAATTATATAATTCACTTTATTTTAACAAAAAAAAATAATCTCTGCGAAAAGCGTCTGACAGCAGTAACACAATTTATTTAAACTTTCATGAATGTCTTGAAGCTTACACACTTGATTAGCTTTAGAAAAAGCAGATACTTGCTTAGCTATTTTCAGGTCTGTATTTATTTATTTATTTTAAATTTCTTTTAGTTTATTTAGTGGAAAGTACAGGTGAGGAGAGTTTAGTCAAAATTATCCCTATGGTTTATACTGGAGTAGGATAGTTTATGGATGTGATACGTAATTAATTTATCATACAGACGCATATTAATTTTTCTTATATGAGATTCGTTTGGGTGCGAAAGAGAAGGATTTTGTGCAGATGATTCTCTAATTTTACGGTGAAAATCTTTTTTAGAGGAAACATTTATTTAATTTAATTAGTAAAGCACAAATCGAATTAATATACTTTTCTTACCGACTTTATTTCTTTTCTCGATACTTTGGAATTTGATTAAATTAAAAAAAAAGAATATTTTACATGTAATCATTATTATTATAAAATAAAAGGACTTTTATCACCATTAGCAAGGCAATTTGTAATGTGATATTACTATATCACTTTTATAAAGTAAATTTGGAAATCATCAAAATTAAGTATAATGACAATAGATCAATTCGGATATAATAGTGAATTTCGAGAACGTTTTTGATTTAACAAGGTGGGTAAATATTCATTTCTTTAAGTATTTTTTTTAATTAGTAAATTTTTTTTTCCTCCAAAATAGAGACCAAAGTTTTGAAATAACATATAAAAAAACCAGCAAGCGATAGGCTGGACATAAATTTCTTGGATAGACATGTAATGAAACAATGCGAAGGATCCTTACATTATATAGTTGATATTAAAAGCAAGAGTCGCCTAGTGTCGCTGTACTTAAAGTATTACTAGGGCTAACCCAGAAAAAACTTTCTTATTTTTCTAATCTCTAATTTCTTAATAGAAAAAGTAGAAATATGATTACGAATAAAGGATTCCAATTTTTATTACAAGATATTAATAATCAAGTGTGGGCGTTTTTAATCCATTATTTGCTAACGAGGAAAGACGAAAAGCATTCTTTTTTAAATTTCGTTTAACTGTTACATATGAACGTAGTGGAAGGGTTATATTTCTTTTTAATGTTGGAAAGTTTAGAATTAGGGATGGTATGCAAATATGATTCATTATTTAATCAGAACAGAGGATTTCATCAACAAGATTCTATAATGTTAGATGAAGTTGGTCGTGTTGATAACTATTTAATTTACGCTTTTTTTTTTACACGTTATTTAATATTCCTAAATTGTGTAGGAAGAAACGTCGATAGAATATTATTATCCAGCTAATCTTTGCAACTATGTTATCATCGCCCGTAGTATCATCATCTAGTACATTTACAACGACGGTGAAGACGGAGCCACGGAGCAAGGATTTATTGTTCAAAGATGATCCAAAGTTGGTTTGTGCAATGATTAAACATCAGAAATGCATTATACCACAAATCAGGTACCAAAAAAAACTCTTGGTCTTTTGAGGCATACTTTTAACCTTGATTATCGCAAAATGTATCTTTTTTTTTGTTTTCTAAAAATCAAGTAACTTTTAGATAATTTCATATTTATCCAATCATGCGCATTCTCAAATGAAGAAACGAATTCCTTTATTATCGTCGACAGTCATAAATCAAATCCAATTATTGGAATAATAGGTTATAATCGACTAAAGGTACGTACAAATAATTTTTTCGCGATAAATTTTCTTTCTTATAGGTTATTTGCAACAAATCATGGATTTGTAATTTGTCTAACGATAGAAAGCGGATGTTTAGTGTAACGGAGGAAGGACATGAGCATGTTGGAATTTATATAAAGAAAAAGATCGCTCAAAGAATAACCAATGGTGATGGTGGTGGTGTTGGTACACCTAATCATCAAAGTAACTGTAGTCTTCTTGAACGTAAAAAAAATAAAAGATTTTAATTGGATCAGATAATCAGTAAAATTTTTATGTATCACATGATCATTATCAAAAATTTTTTATTCCTGAAAATAATACTAAGAGAGTATTCTTAGAAATTGAGGACGATGAGAACGCTTCGAAACAGCGAATCGGTTGGTGATTTATCAATGTCAATTACGTGTCAATAATAAATTTTTGACGTGCGTAAATTATTTTGTTAGCTAGCCTGATAAATTACTGTGGGGAAAACGTTACAAAGGATATAACCAAGAGCGAATTAAAGACATTTCCATTGAAACGTTCGGAAATTTGTGAGTTAATTTTATAAAATTTCTATTGTACCATTAGAACTTGCAATCTTTCGTTAACCTAAAGTATTAATACGATAAGTGATATCAAGGATCTCTGATTTTTTGCCAAAAATTGCTTCAGATAATAAAGAACTTGTATAAAAAGTTGTCAAAGATATTAATATTGAAGATGTTGAAGGCACGGAAAGGATCATTGAGATGGTATAATATAGATATACCAAACTCTCATTCTATTTGTTCGCTCATTATAAAATAATTAATTGTTTTATATATTCACACGTTCAGAACTTGGGATTAGGCGTATTCGAACAAATAAAAGAACCTTCAGAGTGCGATATTATAATGGATCCAAAAGGGGCAACTTCTAATAATTCAACTAAACCAAAAATAATAATGGTGGATAATGGAACTAGCAATATAGAGGCAATAAATGAATTGTTCATTAAAAGATCCAAATCACCATTAATTTTTAAGGATGATGATGAAGACCAAGAATTTTCTAATATAATAATGAATTCACACACATTCATTAGATCATAAGAAACCCAACATCATCGTCCTTGATAATAACCAAATTAGTGATGATTAGTAACGATTGAAACAATGTTTGCTTTAATCCAACAATAAATATTTTATTAATTCGGCAACAATTAATTATAACGTTAATCGTTATTCCCTAAAACTCGATGTAAAATATCTTAATTTTAATCGTGGAATTAAATCAATGTTTTATGTTCAACTTTATCCGGCTGTAAAATTAACTCGGATGAAAAAAAATTGATCTTATAATAGGAAGTTCTTTGCTGATTGATAACTTACTTCTAAATCATCAGATAATTTTATGATCGAGCCTGCTGCCTCTACGTAATGATAATATCCTAGTAATATCAAATAAAAAATGGATATATTTATTTATATATTTCATTGTTGTTCACGAAATCACGAAAACTTTTTAATCAGTTGCTTGGTCGCATTTAACCAGTATAGTAATTTACCAGCAACAACGACGCGAAGTAATACATCATTTATTTTTTTAACTTACCAAACAACTTTCCAAATTTTAATCGTATTTGACATCATCATGTAAGAAATCACCAAAGGAAATCAAAAGTTAATGGTTGATTGTATGAAGAGTAAGGAATATTTTATAAAATCTTTGAACGATCCGATTCTTTGAGGATATGCGGTTGTTCCTTTGCCTATGTCAAATTTATTTACAAGTTAATGTCGACCTATTTTTTAAAATATGATTATGCGGAAGAATTTTAATGATGTGTATTTAACAACATGTAGTATCTTGATTCGAATTCGAAATTCCTGAAGTGGTATAATAAAAGTTCTTGATAATTATAATTACAATTTTTAATTATCAGATTCCTATGAAAAATGTAAAAAAAAATAAAATAAAATGTAAGCATGTCGCATTAAGTACTAATGTAACCGCATTTTGATCACGACATTTTCTTTTTGATTTACCTACTTCACATTTTTATGTACAGTAACCTATGGTTGACCATCAACCATAAATTCACGTTAAACGAATCGTAATAACTTATTGATAATGATTCAATACGAAAGCGAGAAAAAAAAAATTGGTTAATTCATTTGCATAAAGTATACGACAAATCTTAATGATCGAGTTGCATTGGTCATGTGAATTGATCATCATCTTTCCTGAAGTGGAAAGCTTTAACGTATAGAAAGTTATTGTATATATATATATATATATTGGGTTTCCAAAAAAAAAAAAATAATTAATTCACTATTTCCTGTTTCGCGAAGCAAGCACATCTGTTTTTGTGTCCCCTCCTTCCCCCATTTATATTTATAAAAACCAGAAGTTTCTTTGAAAACAGCTGCAAAGGTCTACTAGTTCTTTACCTTTTCAGCAGAGAACTTCGACCAGAAAGAAACTGGTTACCAAACTCCAGAACAGATAACTGGTTACAAACGCCCAGAAGGACAGAACTGGGGTATCAAACCGCCAAGAAGGAAAACTTGGGGCATGAAAGTGGGGTATAAAAAATAAAATATAAAAAAAAAAAATTAAAAAATTAAAGGCATTAGATAGAAACCCAAAGGCTCTCTCGGTTGAGGAGCTCCATTTTTTTGGATTGCGATGTGTACTGACGTCCTTATCGTGCAACCTGGGTATTAGTATTTATTATGCTAGTAGCGAACAAGTACTATATTTTTAATCGTCGTGTTGTGTTCAGCTTTAATTTAAAAGGTTTTATATCAATAAAATTTTGTCATTTAAAGAACTCAAATAAATACAAATATTTAGTTTAATCTTTTAAAGATTCTTTTATTAGCACTTCGCAAAAAATAAGGAAATTTAAAAAATTTTAGGTGAAATCGGTCTTGATAATTTATTCGCCATTGATTTAAATAGATAAACGTATTATTCGTATAATTGTAAATCTTGACGCGTCCGTCGATCAATTATCAACAAAATTTATTAAATAATCGTTCTAAAAAAAAAAAAAAAAAAAAAAAAAAATTCATTTGCGCTTGACTTGAAAGGCACAGCTCTTTAGGAAAAATTTTTTCTTAATATTTTTTTTAAGAAAGCGAACTATTAAGATTTCGGATTTTTTTTTTTTTTAAGAAGCATGTGAAATACATGAAAAAATCTTCAATAGTAAATTTTTATTGATTTAATTAGTTCTCCAACGACATATGCATATCGATATCCATTTTTTATAATTTATATATAAAAATTTATTAAATTGTTGTCTAAATGA